TCACAAAAACAAAGGAGCACCATATTTGTTATGTCAAAACAGCAACATTGCAATCAATATTTCACTGTTGAAGTCCTAAAATTCCATGCAGGGGGCAACAAATTGTGAATTGTTGAAGCAATAACAGCATATTATGTTTCACAAGTCTATTAGCTATTTTTTTCCCACGTAAACATATTATTTCAAACTGAGGTACAGCAAGCGTGAGGCCTTTAAACCTGGAGCTCAATTATGAACTTGAGGCGCATGATTTCAAAGATTTTCCACAGTAAATTCTTATGAAAAAAATATTATTATTATTATTTTATTATTATTATTATTATTATTATTATTATTATCATTATTGCATATATGCCATGTAATAAGCTTGTTTCCCTCTCATGCATAATGTATTTCACACAGTGTGGTTTCCTCTACATTTCTCTGTATACGAGTATCTGAAGTGTTTAAGCGCGGAAAACGCAGCTGTAGTTCAATCAAACTCTAAGTTCACAGCTTGCATATATTCAGACTTGCTGAGGTAAGATTGTGAATGATTTATTAAGCTTAATTCGTACTTGGGCAGGGGCAAAATAATGACTTTGAGCACGGAAACACACATTTTATGAGTGATTAGTGGAGTTTCAGAGGAATACATTATACCAGTGTAATGTATCTGGGAAATAATTAGTTGTTGCTGCGCAGGAAAGGTCTGTCACATCACACACAGCACAATGAATAATGAGCTCCTCTTAATTATGCAAATTATATTCAGAGGGAAGACCCATGAGTGAAGGCTGCCGACTGGAGTGAACTAAAATCAAAACAGCATTCAACTAATGAAAGTCAAGCAAATGCATGTGAGATGCTGCACTGTACGCTTGATATTATGACATTACTGTTTCAGCCTTTTTTTTTTTTTAAAGAAAGGTCTGTCACATCACACACAGCACAATGAATAATGAGCTCCTCTTAATTATGCAAATTATATTCAGAGGGAAGACCCATGAGTGAAGGCTGCCGACTGGAGTGAACTAAAATCAAAACAGCATTCAACTAATGAAAGTCAAGCAAATGCATGTGAGATGCTGCACTGTACGCTTGATATTATGACATTACTGTTTCAGCCTTTTTTTTTTTAAAGCTGAAACAGTAATGTCATAATATCAGTGGGACCTTTTTTTTTTGGAATATCATTATACATTTGTAAAGATGAACAAATTAAACAATATAGAGTTAAGTTTGTATAATCCATAAATCAAGGAGTGTGTGTGTGTGTGTGTGTGTGTGTGCGTGTGT